CCATAGCATGGGTATGAGGCATTAATTTGGTTAGGTCTTTACCATTTTTAGTTATCCCTTTGGATTCTTTTATTCTTGATACACTTATAGGTGTTGGCCCCAGTTGTCTGACCCTGCACTGGGCTAAGGAGGCAAGGCCTTCTCCTGTCCCCACTGCACCTGTTGGTTCCCTGAGTCAGACAGGCTCTGGGTCTGCCTCCTGACTATAGCCACATCTGTAATCCTCCCATTGACCACACCAGGTTGCTGGGGGAGAACTTGGTGGAAAAACCTGCTTCCACCCCTAGTATAGCCTTTATCAGAAGAGAAATGCATCTTATTTAATCTTTGGGGAATTCTCAACCCCCGCCCCTTGTACAGTTGTTGTCCTTCAAATGTCCTTTGTAAACTGTTCTTCTAGTTTTAAAACCTTCCAGAAATGCCTTAGTACCAAATTTGATTTTCTATCAGTTTTTTCTCTGGGGATTTGGGCTTTACATAAGTCTTGCCAAATTTGTCTTTGAGTAATCCAAGTGGACCATTTTTTTCTGTTTGGTCTTTTTTATATCTCTTATAAGATGTTCTGTTGTTTTACAGATATGTTTTACATGCTGGTCAGAATCATTTAGATTTGGCAAAGCCTCTCTCACATTACACAGATTCTGTCCCATCAAAGGGTTTAGTAAAACCATTAAAGCCCCATACCATTCTTGAGGTCCCAGTTGAATTAAGCTTTCTTTCATATCTCTGGTGAACATAGTCTTATCTGTCCCAGAGAACTGGACATCATATATTGCTTTTCTCATACACTGTTCTCTCAGTAATGCCTGCCCCTCCTTTATAGTCCTCCAGCCCCTGATAATCATGTTAGTCTCCCTTTGTGACAATCATGTATCTTTAATGCCTTCAATCAGCCATCCCATTAAGAACTGCTCCCCCCTGCATTGGCCTAGGTTGAAATGCCTATTTTTCAAGGAAGGATGAGCGGTTATATAACTCAGCTGTGAAGTTTCTGAAGGACTTAGACTGACGTCATTTGCTCCCATGTCCCATACTCTCACAAGCCACGTGGCCAGGGGCTCTCTGCTTGCTTGCTTGTTTTTCTTAGTTTTAACAGTTCTAGAATAGAATATTTCCTGGCTACAGCACAGCTAGCCTTTTTTTCCTTTTTACTGTTATATGTCTTTTCCTCGAATCCTTGGACCTTACACAAGTCAAAGTGTCCCGCCTTTTTTCTCTCTCCAGCTCTGCACCTGGGTCTGCCAGGGCAGCCTTTCAGCTTTCCCTGCCTGGGGCACATCTTTTATGATGTAAAGTGGCTGTTCATTCTCTCTCTGTCTCTCTCTCTCTCTCCCTCTCTCAGTGCTCCATTTGAGTCTATAGCAGGTAAAAGATTTTCTAGCCTTTGGGTAACCTTTAACAAATCTTCACATACCCACAACATATCCCCACATTTACAACATAACTGTGGCACACGCTTCTGCGTGGCTGGCCTCTTTTTAGTAACCCATTGTAACAACCACATCAGCACCACCATCAGCGCTTTTCCAAAACTCATTCTCTGTTTCATAATATCCTGCCAGGCTACACCAATTTTGTCACTCAAGTTCCCTCTGGGTCTCTCACGCTATCAAGCAAACCATATAACATAACTTTATGTGCATTTATTAACTTACAAAGGAATGCGTACCCAGTGCCTAACCCCGTGCCACACTCAGAGCCCACCATATCAGACTGTTCCATGCCCATAGTCACTGCTAGCATTGTCTCATGCCTTCGGAGCCAGCAATCTAGCCCAGGTCCATAAGTGTCAGGCCATTCTGTCCTTGAGCTGCTGCATGGCTGTGCATTCCGCACGCCATGCATTACCCACAGCTCGCAGGTTCCATTTCCAGATGGCTCCCTGCAGGCCCTCAGTAGTCCATGTTCCGTGGCAGGCCCTGCCCCTTGGAGGAACTAGCCAATTGGGAGACAAATGGGTAAGTCCTTTTTATCATAAGGACATACCTCACATTAGTGGATTGGGAAATAATGTAGCTATTATAGAAGTGGAAGAAGTAAATACTTTTAAAAGAGTAATCTAATCTACCACAACTAACGCCTGCAATATTGACTACATATGACTCAAGGGAATGAATAAAATTTCATGATGCTGTTCTTCCAAAATTTGCTTAGCTCAGGGGCACAGTGCTTGCCTCATGTGAGAAAACACCACAACATGATTCTGTAACACTGAAAAAAATTAAAGCATAATGTAAATTTTGCTTAGTTGAGGAATTTCCTCTTCTACTGAATAAACATATATTACACAACCCCATAAACTCTCTTAGGACTCTTAGATCTTAGAAATGGTAAATATTAATTTTCAACACAGTCTCAAGTCTAGAAATTTTATTCCCTCTCATTGGATCCAGCTGAAAGTAAGAATTGGAGGTAGAGAAGGAGATAACAATAACAATTACCTCTGATTCACTTGCTTTTCTAAAGTTTGATTAGTTATGGCAATCTCCTTAGATGGAACAGAGAGAGAAAAAGAAAGGGTGGTATGTGTAGAACGTGCTTCCTTAATGTCTACTGTGTTAAAGCAATTCCAAATTCTCTTGGGCTGGATGTTGGTTAAGCTGAGTTAATTCAAGTGGGCAGTGTAACTGGTAGAGCAGTTGTCAGCATTCAAAGCCCTAAATTCAATCCCAAGTTCCATTAAAAAAAACACAAATAAACAATAACAAGTGATTCAGTCTCCTGCAGTACTTCGAGGTCGGAGATGTTTGTCTTCTAGAATGCCTTCTCACACCTTCTGTGACATGTTCAAAGCATGTTTTCTTCCTGTGGACGACTCCCTCATAAGCTGACCTCACAATGCTGTATTCCATGTAGTGATCTTATTCTTTCTGTTGCAATATCTTTGGGTTTCTGAAGGTCTTTGTTGAGAAGAACTGAATGGTCTCTGTCCATTCTTGGTTATAACTTACATGTGCTGTGTGTGAAGCATGTTTTACAATTTTATTGCCTACAGTGTGAAGAAGTGAATCTAACACATGAATATGCCATAATATCATCTGCCATCCCTCTCACCATCTTTTCTTTGCTATTGCTCACAAACAGGGGTCACACATCAAACTATTTAGAAGTTTATCTTGAAGTTTCTCTCATTAAGCTTAAAGTAAAGATGAAAGAACCTATTTCCCTGCTGGGAGGTGTTTGGGTTCACAGCACAATTTTTTCCAAGAGAAATATATTTGCGAGACCATTTCTTATCTTCAACACTTAAACATTTATTTGTAGGTGGTGTTTCATTATGTAGTTCTCACTGGCTTGAAGGTTTCTGTATAAACCATGCTGGCCTCAAACTCAGAGAGCTGCCTTCCTCTGCCTCCCAAGTCTCAGATTAAAGGTGTGCATCACCATGCCCAGCTAACACCTAAGTATTTTTACAAGTACATTATATTGAGAAAATTTTGGTGCCTTGATTGAAAAGTGCAGTTTAATATCCTGACTCATGATGCTCCCCTTTCCTGGTCATCAACATAGGAGAGAAATTAATGTGTCTGGATAATTCTTAAGACTCAAGCAAAACAAAATGTCTCTGATTAATCTTTTGTACCTTCTGCAATGTTTAGTTAATTATTCCTCTGTGGACTATACAGCATTCTGTATAAACTATTATAATAGTACTGCTCTATAGGTGAGCATGCGCTGGGCTCTCAGGGTCCCAGCGCGCACTCCTGGGCAGTGAAAGTTCCTCTGCTACTGAGGTCTACTCAGTCGATCCCATCCCTATTTCACCCGTATACCTTCCTCAGGATGTGAGGTCCACTGGCCACTTGGACCACACTGGAAGCGTATGAGGGACGGCGAAAGCCAGGGTGTCCTCGAGTCGGCGACGGAGGAATAGCGCCCCCCGGGGAGACTGGATCACAGGATTTAGTGTTACAGCTCAAGACAAGTGACTCAGCTCAGATCTCAGTGATTCAGCTCCAGCTCCAACTTTACTGGGGTAAAACTAGGACTATTTATAATGTAGAGACAGCAGAAGAAGCCTTAGCTGATAGGTACTTTAAGGATGCCTCATTTACATAGGGCGGTGGGCTTCTATCAGGCTATCAGACAACGCCTGATTAAAAACCTGGTAGCTCCTGTGCTGGAGGGCATGTATTTGTGGCGAGCACTTTAAAAGAAGAGTCAGGGAGGATGCCAGGAAGGCACTCTGCTATGAAAAGGAATCTGCAGCACATGGTTTCCGAGCTTGTGAGCTATCCGGACATGAAGAGACTTCTACTTTGCATAACAGAGGACCCCAACACTGCTCCAGTGAATTTCTCTGCAATTAGACAGCTAAAATTCAAGCCTTCCTTTTACTGTATGAGAATGGTATGTTCTTTAATTCTCTGAACTTAAGTTTTCTCACTGAAAGTTATCAGGATAAAATTAGATGGTTTATTATATACTAAATTCTTACACAGGAATCCAAGATAACTAAGGTAAGATTTATTTTGTCACTTAATATTTCCATGTGCTTATGAGAAAGTAAGTGTTGGCTGAATTCTTGAGGGACAAGAAAGCTATGTGATAATTACCATGAAAGTAAAGCAGACATTTGTATGTTCCATTGGAAAGACATAGACATTTTGAAGGTTCTTAGATATCTGAGAGACTGGTATAAACGGTAACTATATCTTCATAAAAAAATGTTTCCAGAAATGGAGGTAGAAAGTTCCAACACATTTTATGATAAATTTAAATTTTAAGGAAAAGTAGTCATGACAACTCCTATTTAATGACACCTGATAAAATATTTTCCAAACACAATACCCACTAGAACAAATGTGAAGTCATAAAACATTTTGTTTTGATATTCCTTCTCACGGGTGCAGAAATAATGTCAGAAAAGCATTTTGGGGAAGGCTGTGGAAGAAAGACCATTGCCGTGTAGTTTCAATGAGTTGTATTTATATCATTGAGGAAGCACAATCATACAGATGAAAATCATACATAGAGAGAGAATCATCAGAAGAAAAATATCAGTTGGAAAAATCTGTCTTCTTACTCCAAAGTTTTCTAAAAGCCCCTTTCATGTCTTTATTTCTTAGACTGTATATGAAAGGGTTCAACAAGGGAGTGACCACTGTGTACATCACTGAAGCGATCACATTATTTGCTTTGGTGTTTCTGGATGGGGGAAGAAAATAGAGACCAATAATCGCTCCATAATAGAGAGCCACCACTGAGAGGTGGGATCCACAAGTGGACAAGGCTTTGCAGATGCCCTTGGTAGAGGGAACTCGGAGGATGGTGAACCCAATATGACCATAAGAAACCAGGATGCATAGAAACGGGAGCATAATTGCTGCCAGCCCCGCTGTGAAGATTACCAGTTGGTTGAGGGATGTGTCTGAGCATGACAATTTGAGCAGGGCACCAAGGTCACAGAAGAAGTGGGGGATAATGTGGTCAGCACAGAAGGAAAGCTGGGCCAGGAGGAGGGTGTGCAGAAGAGCACAAGCACAAGCTGTGACCCAGGACACAACTACCAGCATAACACAAAGTCTCTGACTCATGATGGTGGTATAATGTAGAGGGTGACAGATGGCCACATACCTGTCATAGGCCATTGACGTGATAAGGAAACTGTCCAAGTCAGCAAAGACTATGAAAAAGTACGTCTGTGAAACACATTCCTCATAGGCAATGGATGTGTGCTGGCCCTGCATACCTGTTAGCATCTTTGGAACAGTGACAGATGAAAAGCATATGTCTGTGAAGGCCAAGTGGCTGAGGAAGAAGTACATGGGGGTGTGGAGGCGAGAGTCCAGCCTGATGAGCAGGATGATGAGCAGGTTCCCCAGCACCGTGGTCAGATACATGGCCAGGAACAGGGTGAAGAAGATGCCCTGCTGCTCTGGCCTGATGGGAAGCCCCAGGAGGATGAACTCTGACACACTGCTCTTGTTCTCAGGTCTCATACTTGTGCATCATCTGGGAGTAAAACTGAAAGGAATAAGAAGTGATGATTGGGCATGATGGCTCATGCCATCTATCTCAGCACTCCAGAGGAAGAGGCAGGTGGCTCTGCAAGATGGAAGATAGCTAGACCTACATAGCTAGTTCTTTCTTTGTCAGTCAGATCCAGTTCTGTAAATGGTAATAAATACAGTTAATATTTACTAAATGTTTTCCTTATACATTATTCTAACAGTGTATGTGTACTAGCCCATTCAATAGTTGTAAGTAGATGACCTAGCTAGGTGATGTTATCATTTCAGCTCTTAGTTGGGATGGCTGAAGAAAATAGTCTTAGAGTCACAGAGGTAAGAGAAAAGGTATATGGACTCAAGTGTTTTGACGCCAGGTTTGTTCTCCAGAAGCAAAACAATGATCTGATATCTGAAATCTCACTGCTCTTCATTTCTTTACTTGCAACAACTTGTTCAATTCTGTAAGCCCCATTTCCCTATACTTACAATGATTATTTCTACTTTGTTCACTGGTTGCAAATCCAGGATCTAGCATAGATAATTAACACATGTACAGTATCAATTGATTAATAAAACAAGTTACATTCAAGTAAACTCATGTGCCAGTTTTTATAAAATGCTTATATCACACCCAGCTCAGGAACTAGGCTTGACCAACTCCCTAAATGTGGGTCCCAAATTTTAAAGGACTACAAACCAAAATACAAAAGTAATCTTTAAAAGAAATTCTAATACCAATCGACATGCCGGGATTTATTTGCTAGCACATACCAATATAAATTTTTTAAAGAAATAAACCTTTCACTACAATGTATCAAAGCACATCTTAAAGCTAAACAGTTATTACAAGAAATAATGTAATTTACAAAGATGAACCAATAAAACAGAGGAGAAGAGAACCTCAGCACAGACTCAGCTTATAATAAAAATATTACAATTGACAGCCATGGCATTATAGGTCATTGTGTAAAGAAAGGGTGGACTCTTCAGTGAATGGTTCTGAGGCAGCTGTCTATGCACACTGAATGACATAACAGCATATTTCTAACATACTACATGTAAAAATCCCACAAAAATTAAATAGAAGAAGCAAAATTTCAGGGGTCCAGGGGCCCAGAGGCCCCATCATTAGTTTCTCAACTGGACTCAAAACCAACTATTTAGCAACAGTTCTGGTTTTCCCTTTGCTACAACTGAATGAAAGAGTAGAATTATGAGTTGACTCATTCTAGTAGGTGACAATTCATGTTAATCACTACAACAAAGTCGCCAACTGGCTCCGTAGGACATTTAAAAGTAGAATGAGAGTATTTGTGAACAGTTTTTCAACTGGTCTCCCAGAAACATATGAGTGACAGTATGTTACTTAGTCCTAAAGGCTAAAGAGTTTCTGCCCAGATTCTTATATCTTGGACCCAAATCTGACTCCAGAACTTCAATTAATTGTGAAAATGGCTAATGGAGCATTATCTCTAAGTTTCTTTTCAATTATTGCGCTTATCCGAGTCAGTTTTCTACCTCAAGGAAACATGCAAAACATCAACTGTGTAGTCCAATCATTGAGACTTCCATATCCCCACCCCAAACACCATCTGCAACAGGATGCTGATATGCAAAATTCTTTCAGCAAGAGAAAAAGCCATTCACGATTCAAGTACAGATTGCATATAAAGGAGACCATCCTGGGAGAGAGATGAATGTATGAACAACTTTGTTATTGAAAGGGGGTGGTTGAAAGTGGTGCATTTTGGTGAGCCAGGTTGGGACCGCAAAACAAAGGAAACGACTTTCTCCAAGTAACCAAGGGAGACAAAAGGGTTACAGGCAGAATGAAAGTAGAGGCTACAGACAGAACAAATTTACTATGTCTCCCATTTGGCTGAGGGAATAGCTAAAGAGCTGAGCTCTAGAAATAGTTGCATTGATAATAAGATATAACAAACACTTAATATACACCAAGTTCTTTAAAGCATTGCTTACTTATTCCATAAACCTTTCAACAAGCATTCTGCTCCTCTTTTTAGAGAGAACACTGGGACTTTGTGACGAGACTTGCCCGGTGTTATAATACTGGCATGTAGGAGTCTGTGAACTGATCCCAGGACTATCTGTCTTCAAAGACTCTATTACTCCCAGTGCATTGAAAGACCTCAGTAAATATAATGTCACATAAAACAACACTTGCTGCCTGATGGCACCCAAGAATTTTAACAAGTATCAGAGAGTTTAAAGATGAATTTCAGAATATGAGGTGATAATATAAATACTACTAATAATAGAAATTAGGACAACAATCATTCATTAATCACATATTCTCTGATGTATAATATAGACCAGTTTCTGTGACATTTAATTTATATCATAACTTATTGTGATCGCCAAGAAAGCATGATTTTAGCTTAAGCAATTGGAAAATAAGGCTAAGAGAGTATAAGTAATTTGCCTAAACTCATGTATCATAAAAATGGCAAGAGAGCATTTAATCCCAGACTGGTCTGATTACAAACCCATTCTCCTAATCACCATATTGTGTTACTTTTAACACAGCATACTGTGACAGAATAGATACATCTGTACAAGCACTTCTTATTAATAAGGTGGTAGGATTTTTCATTTTCCCTAAGACATTGAGTTAAAGTAATTCCTAAATCTTTAATAAGACCACTGAGGTAAACAGAGAGTCTAAGATGTTCACTACTTCACTTACAAAGACAGGTGACCATGAACAAGGATTCACTGGATCCAGGAAGCAGATAAGATCCTGGTCAATGTTTTTTTATTAATGGACTACCTCGTTTCCATCAATAAGAAAAAGATGAAGACAACTGCATTATATATCAACTGGAAGTAGTATGTAGGTGATAAAAGGCATATACGAAAAGTTGTGATGAAACTTTTTGAAGTATGACACAGGAAATTATAAATAAGCATGTTTTAATTATTTCCAGAAATGCAAACTATTGTTACTTTTTTGATGCTGGGATGCAGGCCAAATGTTCAGCAATAAGTGGAAAGAAAAGGACGACATTTTACTAGACAAAATGTTTAAGCCTCAAAGAATTATTATATTCACCAAGGTTACCTTTGAGATGTTCTAAATATGTATGAATATTACCATGTTACTTGGGTATGGATGCCTTTAATCCAAGTACTTGGGAGGCAGAGGGACATAAAGCTATGAATTTGAGGCCAGAATGGTTTACTTAGCAAGATTCAGATAGGGCTACGTAGTGAGGCCCTTTCTCAAAAAATAAAATTATCATTATAACTGTATTATTCATCTGGGAGGTTTTATAGCTGACCATTGACACCCCCACATGCACAGTTTAACACACACACACACACACACACACACACACACACACACTGGTTTCTCTGGCTGGACCCTACAAACATTGCCATTACCTAGGTCAGTGAGACAAATTCAAATATTGTCATTTCCATGAGTTTTCTTTCCAAAAGATTTAGAGGTGGAGAGAGAAATTATAGCAACCCTGATGTGGGGAAGAGGCACACTCTCTCTTCTCACCAGCTCCATGGCAATAATACAGAGATAGATTCCTCTTTATAAGTTGGGTTGTGAACCCAGGAGACCACTGACACAAGTTTCTGGTAAGAGACAATTAGGGAGCAATCATTGTATCTCTCTTAATATTCCCTTTGGATATGAGCATTTGCCTCATGACAAAGATGAACACTTTGGGGAATAGAAATAAGTATTTAATTGTTAAAATATTCATTTATTTATTTTAAAAATAATAACCATGATATTATTTAACCATCACATCAATTCTAGGGGTAGATAATACTTTTCCAGCTGTACTGAGTTTGAGATTGTTTCAAATGAAAATTACATGGTGAGTTTTCCAGTTAACTTCAAACTGAAAGCCTAGCTCCCTTTTGCCATGAGGTCTTCCTTAGGAATAGGCTCTGTGGCATTTGGGCTTCTTGCATCCAATATTTAATTTGTAGCTAGAAAGAGAGTCGCTACTGGTCCATGGAGGAATAAAAACACTTACCAAGGAACAGAGGCATACTTGAATATACAAAGACTTTGATCAATGATGATATACAATTGTAGTTAGTGTTTACTTAGAGGTCATAAAAATGTACTATACTCATAAGCATTTGTGTCAGAAACCTTCAGAAATGACTTCCATTCAGATTGGAAAAGTAAACAAGAGAGATGGAATCAAGTGGAATCAACAATTTGTTCATGATTCTGTTTATTCATCATTTACTCATCTACCCATTCAGAAAATTGCATAACTATTACATGACAAGAATTTTGTAAGGTGTAGTGACCGAAGATTTGAAGACCACAGTTTCTTTTCCTCAAAGAGATTCTAGTTCATTGAGCATGATAGAAAAATAGTGTAACAACAAAAAAAGAAAGCTATAGTTCTAGAGGACACTATGCAAGCTGCTGAGAGAGTTCAATCAATGCTCCAAGCCCAGCTTCAAAGCCTAATAACCATAATACTTACTGGAACCACAACCTATAGCAGTGCAGTAGGGGGACTTTTGTCTAGGGGTTAATCAATTATATAATTGGACTTAAGGCCATCTCAGTGGAAGAGAACTCAAGAGTGACACTGTGAACATAGCCAAATACAGATGGATGGAGAGGTCATACGTAGATATTAGAGGAAACCCTATCTCTATCATATCTCTAGACAAATGAAATTTCTTACTATATGCTAAATATCAATCCTTATAATTTTAGAGAAGAATACCATATGCCACTCATCAATGAAGATTCTTTTTACAACAGATAGGGACTGTCACAGAGTTCCACAACTGATCACAGACAGAGAATATGTGTCTGAGATATGCCCACCACTAACTGACACATCCACAATGGCTCCTCTACCCCTAAGTCCCATGGGACACAGTGGAATTGGGGGTAGAAAGGATTCTAATGCATCTCTCAACTCTCACCAGTGAAGCTTCTTCATGAAACAGAGTACAATGCACACCAAATATCACAACTGGCCAAAGTGTAGAGAATAAAAGGCTGCAGGATGTGTGTCCCTGGATAGGACTTCTATATTAAACTTCAACCACCCATGGCTCAGGGATCATTGTGGTAGAGGGACTAGACAGATTGTAAGGGTTAGTGCGTGATCATAAGGAAACAGAGACTTCCAGGCCTCTGGGAACTTGTTCATATGAACTTGTAGCAATGGTCACAGCATGCACAAGATCCATACTAACTCAATTAGACAAAAAACAGGAGCATAGAAATGTGGAAATGGGCAGGACACCCCTACCTTGGCCGAGGAACTATTGGTAACTAATTACTGCTGGGTGAAGGAGAGTTGATCTTCTTTAAGGGACTGACACTGTACTCCAGGGGATGAACTCACACTGCGGGACATCTGGGTACAAATGTTTGACCAGAGAGACCTCAATATAAGTAACAGAATGCATGAAATCCAGTGGGAGCATTGTTAGGCTATGAATGGGGGAAGGGAATCTAAATATGACTAAGATGTATTAAATGCACAAAATTTCAATAAAATATACATTGAGAAAAAGAAAAATAAAAACAGTGTAAGCTGAGTGCCATGAAAGCACAGGAAAAAATTTTCAGGCACAAATTAAATGGCTCAGGCAACATAGTTGCAAAAAGTTACAAGCAAGTGGACACCTATGGAAAAAAACAAACAGAATTGGATGTGGACAGCACAGAAGTATAATATTATTTTAGAACAGCAAAAAACAGACAATGGAAAGATATAGAAAAGAAGCATATAACACATTGAGAAACTATGTACGTTAACAGGGAAAGGGGTTCAAAATGAGCTCAGAGATATTAATAAGAATTAATCATGCATATGGACTCAAGAAATTATATTGGCCCCTTAATCTTTGGTTATACTTTCTTTTGGATGTTTAAGGCCATACAGTTGGCCCAGATAAACCAATTTATTTTTACTCTTAAGGTTGTTTGAGGATCTGTTCCTCAGGGGTCACATGGGCTTGGACGAAGTCCCTGGCTCCTTTCTTTTACCAATTCTTTCCTATGTGAAGACAAGTCAAAGGTCCTTCTTGACCATGGTTGGCTTCTCTTGGAAGCACAGAGGAAATGATTCCTCTGTGTTGACCCTCCTCTTTGTAGACTGGATACTGGTTCAAGCCCATCTGGTGGGGTCTCCTTGGCCTCCTTGATCAAGAGGACAGGTGACCCACCACCATTACAGGACATTTTGAGAGATGCTCATAGTCCCCTGGAACTAGTTGACCTAGGAGGGCAAGGAGCAAAAACTGTCTTTTATGTCCCTCTGACCAAATTGTTATAGGCCTCAAAGTATTTCTGTTAAACATCCAAGAAGGTTAGTTCCACCAGTCTGGTACTTTTAATTACTGTGTGTCATGTAGATAAATCTTGGGCAAAGACCGATTGTTCTCAGATAAACCTTACCTAGACATATATTTCTTGATCTGCTATGTACAATTTGTCATTAGGTTGTACAAGTAATATGGTTCCCTCTGGTTTTCAGAACTAGATAGGCATTATTTACCTCTCACATTGTCTCACTCCTCCATCATGATTTTCCCACTTAAGGTGCCCCCATTTCCTCCCTTTCTCCCTTAATAGTACCCTTCTCCTATGGTCCTACCCCTCTTGAGCTCCTTCTTACCCTTCATCCCCTAGGTTCCTTGTATACCCTTCCCTCCCCTTTCCCTTAAACTAACCCAATTTTTATCCATATCTCCCTTATTAAGGCCTGTTTCCTATTGTTCTTCTCTTCCAGGTTCTTTCTTTTCCTTTACCTCCCTGTTTCCTTTCCATTATCTTGGTTCCTGTAGTTATGTCTGGATACATACTCACTTATCAGGGTTTGGCTCTAGGATCCACATATGAGGGAGAACATATGTCGACTTTTTTTTCTGAATCTGTGTTACTTCACTTATTATAACAGTTTCTAGTTCCATCCATTTACCTGCAAATTTCATGATTTCCATATGCATAACTAAAGGCTATACAACAAGCAACAATGCCAGATAGGTGATACCTTCTTTTGAGTTGTTGGCCAGGGTGGCCAAAGGGACTCCCAGATAGTAATCCAGCATAGAACTGGGAAAATGAACAGCAACCCAAATCTTATCTAAAGGAATATTGACAATGGATTGCTGCTAGATGAGGAACAGCTGACCCTCCAAAAACAAAGACCTCTAGATAAGCTGTGTAGATTCACCGGATGGACAAGAAGTGGGGAATGGCTGGAGTGCCAGCAAAACAGCAGTACAGTAGCAGGGACATCAGAGTATAAGGGTTCTAGTGCGGGGAGGGAGGCTATGGGAGGGTGCCACCTGGGAAGTGGGTGTACAGTTGAATAAGATGGTTTGGGATGTTCTGTGTGATATACACACAAAAA